GGTCTTGAATTCCTGAGCTCAAGCAATCCACCTATCTTGGCCTCCCAAAGTGCTGGAATTACAGGCATAAACCTGTAACCTGGCCTGAAACCTATTATAATCTTTTAAGTTGTATATAATGAAACATCAGTATTTGGAAGATCTGCATAGTTCTGAATCAATTATTTTGCATACGACCAGTACATGGTGTTACAAAATTATACATAGGTAAAATATCCAATCAAAGTGCAGTTCAGAAAAAAAAAGATTTTTTTTTTTCTTGGGAGACAGTCTTGCTCTGTTGCCCAAGCTGGAGTGCAGTGGCTTGATGTTAGCTCACTGCAGCCTTCTCCTCCTGGGTTCAAGTGATTCCCCTGCCTCACCCTCCTGAGTAGCTGGGATTGTGCCACCACATCCAACTAATTTTTGTATTTTTAGTAGAGACAGAGTTTTACCATGTTGGCCAAGCTGATCTCAAATTCCTGACCTCAGGTAAACCTCTCAAAGCTCTGGGATTACAGGCGTGAGCCACCACACCCAGCCAAAACAACAATTTTAATTTTTTTTTTTTTTGAGATGGAGTTTCGCTCTTGTTACCCAGGCTGGAGTGCAATGGCGCGATCTCGGCTCACCGCAACCTCCGCCTCCTGAGTACAGGCAATTCTCCTGCCTCAGCCTCCTGAGTAGCTGGGATTACAGGCACGTACCACCATGCCCAGCTAATTTTTTGTATTTTTAGTAGAGACGGGGTTTCACCATGTTGACCAGGATGGTCTCGATCTCTTGACCTTGTGATCCACCCGCCTCGGCCTCCCAAAGTGCTGGGATTACAGGCTTGAGCCACCGCGCCCAGCCCCCCAGATTTTAATTTAATGGTACAAAAAGGTCATTGATATAGTTTCAGGTTCTACATTGCAACTAACCCTTAAGAAACTGCCAATTATCAGCCAGGCACAGTGGCTCACACCTGCAGTTCCAGCACTTTGGGAGGCTGAGGTGGGAGGGTAGCTTGAGCCTAGGCGTTTGAGACCAACATAGGCAACATAGTAGGACACCATGTCTCTTTTTTAAAAAAGGCCAGGTATGGGCTGGGCGTGGTGGCTCATGCCTTGTAATCCAAGCACTTTGGAGGCCAAGGTGGGCGGATCACCTGAGGTCGGGAGTTCAAGACCAGCCTAACAAACATGGTGAAACATCATCTTAAATTAAAAGAAAAAAAAAAATTTTTTTTTTTTTTAAAGCCAGGTATGATAGTGTACATCTGTAGTCCCAGTGACTGGAAGAGACTGAGGCAGGGAGATTACTTGAGACTGGAAGGTCAAGGCTGCAGTGAGCCAAGCTGTGATTGTGTCACTGCACTCCAGCCTGGGTGTTAGAGCTAGATCTTGTCTCAGAAAACACCATAAAGAATCCAGACCCGGCACAGTGGCTTATGCCTGTAATCCCAGCACTTTGGGAGGCCAAGGAGGGCAGATTACCTGGGGTCAGGAGTTCGAGATCAGCCTGGCCAACATGGTGAAACTCCGTCTCCACTAAAAATACAAAAATTAGCTGGGTGTGGTGGCTTACACCTGTCGTCCCAGCTACTTGGGAGGCTGAGGCAGAAGAATAGCTTGAACCTGGGAGGCGAAGGTTGCAGTGAGCTGAGATCGCACCACTGCACTCCAGCCTGGGTGACAGAGCAAGATTCTGTCTCAAAATAGTAATAATAATAATAGGCCAGGTGTGATGTTTCACACCTGTAATACCCGCACTTTGGGAGACTAAGGCAGGCAAATCACTTGAGGTTAGGAGTTTGAGACCAGCCTGGCCAACATGGTGAAACTCTGTCTTTACCAAAAATACAAAATTTAGTCAGGCATGGTGGTGCCTGCCTGTAGTCCCAGCTACTCAGGAGGCTGAGGCATGAGAATCACTTGAACCTAGGAAGCGGAGGTTACAGTGAACCAAGATCTCGCCACTGCACTCCAGCCTGGGCCACCAAGCGAGACTCTGTCTCAAAAATAAATAAATAGGTCAGGTGCAGTGGCTCACACCTGTAATCCCAGCATTTTGAGAGGCCAAGGCGGGCAGATTACGAGGTCAAGAGATCGAGACCATCCTGGCCAACTTGGTGAAACCCTGTCTCTACTAAAAATACAAAAATTAGCCAGGCATGGTGGCGGGCTCCTTTAATCCTAACTACTCAAGAGTCTGAGGCAGGAGAATCGCTTGAACCCTAGAGGCAGAGGTTGCAGTGAGCCTAGTCACACCACTGCACTCCAGCCTGGGCAACAGAGTGAGACTCTGTCTCAAAAAAAAAGAAAAAAGAATAAATAAATAAATCTTTCCAACTACATATCTGTTGTGAGACCAGATTTTCTTCATATACAGTGCTTCAGACTAACCAACATATAGCAACAGATCAAATATGGAAGCAAATATGAAGAATCCAGCTGTCCCCTTGGAAGCCAGAGAATAAAGAGATTTGCAGAAGTACAAAATAATTTCCATACTCTCACTAATTCGGGAATGGGAATATAGTTATCTTTCATTTAGAACATTATGTTAATATGGCAATTGTGTAATGAGTTTATTTTTGTTATTTTTAATGAATTGATACATATTTAAAAATTTTCTCAGGTTTCATTTTAATATGGCAAGTATTTGGTAGATATACCCCACTTCAACAAAAGCTGTTTGGGGTCTTCAATATACTTTAAGAGTTTGAAGCGTTCTGTTCTAAGACCAAAAGACCCACACCATATTAACATATTTGAGTACCCAGAACCTGGTACATAAAAAACTCATCTGGCAAATGTTCACGAAGTGCCAACTCTATGCCTGGTGCTGTGCTAGGCATTGGGGATTCAGAATTGAGAACAATTTTTCTGTTGAGGACTCACAGACCAGCGGAGGTGCCAAACCGTGTAAGAACAGTTAAACCATGGGACTAGAATGAGAGTGAGAGCCTGCACCAAGAACACGCACCTATTAGGTGAAGCAGTGGGAAGAGAAGTGGCCACGGAAGACTTCCCAAAAAGCTGACACTTGATCTGAGTTAAAGGCCACCAGGAATCAGCCAAGGGGAAGGGCATTTTAGGGAGAGGGAACAGAATACATAAACTGTGGAAGCTTTAAGAAAAGAATGGCTATTTCCAGCTCCTGCATGTAGCTCATTATGAATGCAGTATGAGGTAAAAGTCTGAATACAGGGGGTTAGATTGGGCGTGAAAGAAGATGAGGGCCAGAGAGGCAGGCAGGAGCCAAAACAACAGGCCTTCTATACCATATTAAGAAATGTGGGTTATTGTTTTTTTTCTTCCTCAAAATAGGCAGGGTGCCCGCATGCCTGTAATCCCAGCTACTCAGGAGGCCGAGTCAGGAGGATCACTTGAGCCCAGAAGTTCAAGACCAGCCTGGGCAATTAGCGAGCTCTTATCTCAAAAAAGGTGGGGGGACAGGGATTAGGGAGGGGTTTTGGAGGGTTTTAGATAATATTCGCATTAACTTTTAAAAGGCATTTGGCAACAATGTCGTGGAACAATCCAATGAATGAATGAGTTGAGGAACCAGAAGTAAGACTACAAAAGACTGGAGAAAAAGAAGCGGCCAGAGGCCAGCCCAGACTGACCCGAAGAGGAACCCCATTGGTAGGAAGCAGCCTCTCCAGGATTAGGTGGAAGTGAGGCGCGAAGGGCAGGGGAGCCCCAGTGGTCCAGCATAGGCTGCTGATGGATGAGGGGTCTTCCACGGAGTTAGAGAAACACTGTGAGGTCAGGCCAGGGTTGCTCTCGGTGTGGCGCGCAGGCAGCTAAATGGATCTCAGTGCGTTTCCACGCCTTCTCCACTCCGCCCCAGCCTCCGGCCCCGGGTTCCCACGGTCCCCAGCCCACTGCAAAATCCAGGCCTCCCGCCCCTCCGCGACTGGAGGGTGAGGGCGAGGCTAGCAGCTCCCTCCCCGCTTCCTCCACTGGTTCTCTCCTCCCCTTCCCCCTACTCCAGGGCGGCTCTCCACTTCCTCTGCCCCCACCCCACCCCAGGGAAAAATGAAAACAAACACCTTCACGCCCCGCGCCTCAGACTCCCAGACCCGACGACCCGGCTCCGTCGCTGATTTGGCCGCCTTAGTCCGAGAGGACACCTAGCCCCGGGCCCTCTACACCCCGCAGCTCAGCGACTCTTCCCCTCGCCCCCCGCCTTCCCCGCCTCAGCTCGGCTCCGCCTCCCCACGGGGAAACATCCCAAAAAAGGGCAGAAAAGAAATTTCAGCGTAAAGTTGGCCCACTGGGAAAGAGAGGAGCGTCTGCGTGGAGCAGGGGAGGAGAGGGAGGGCGCGCGGAGGGGAGAGGGGCCAGGCGGAGGCGGGGGCGGGGAGCGGAGGGTCTCGGGACGCGTCCGGGTGGGAGCGGGGGCGGGGAGCGCGCGGTGACCAGTCCGGCCGCAGCCGCGTGGAAAATATGCGGGGCACGTGGGGGGCGGGGCGGGGAGCTGGGTCCCGAGCCGCCGGGCGCTCGCAGGAAGGGCCTGGCTCCAGGGCCTGGGAAGGGAGGCGAGGGAATGAGAGGTCAGGCGGGTCCTGGAGACAGCAAGCCGGGTCACACTCCGCACCTCCACCGGGGCTCTGGGCTCTTCTGCCTCAGTTTCCCCAAGTCCCCGATGAGACTCTGCTATCACCACGTCGAAAAACCTAGTGGGACTCAGGGTAAACTGAGGCACTCAAACTGCAGAGGAGCTCTGCCTCCCAAGAGACATTTAATCCGGGGGGATTTGCAGGAAACTTCTAAATTAAGGGTAGCGGCTGCTGCAGCTGAGGGGGGGCACGCCGGTCCCTGTGCCCGGGCAGCTGCCGTGAGCTCACGCCCCGAAATAGCCCCAGGGGCCCCAGCCGCAGCTGCCACTAGATCCGACTGTCACTCAGAGGAAGCCCGGAGCCCCCAGCCCAAGGGTCCCCTCCCCTGCGTAGCGTGGGGGTTTTTCCAGCCGACCGTCGGCTCCTTTTCCCTCCGACGGCTGGCAGGGTAGAGGGGAATTGGGGCGGGACCCCAAGGGGGGCGGTCCCGAGTGGGTGGGCGCAGGGGGCAGCCGCGCCCCCCGGCCAGGCCTTGCTTCTGCCCCTACAAGGTTTGGGCCGAGGTGGGGGAGGGTCCTGATCGCCGGCTCCGCCCGGTCCCTCCCCGCCTTTTAGGCGCCCGCGCGGCCGGGACGTCCCAGTCCTGCTCGGTCCTCCTTGCCTGCCACCCGTGCACCCAGTCGGCTCAGCCAGCCCAGTCCGTCCAGTCCTCACTGCCTGCCGGCCGGCCCACCCCCCACCACAGCCATGGACGCCATCAAGAAGAAGATGCAGATGCTGAAGCTGGACAAGGAGAACGCCATCGACCGCGCCGAGCAGGCCGAAGCCGACAAGAAGCAAGCTGAGGATCGCTGCAAGCAGGTGGGGGCCGGGCCCAGTGCAGCCTGCTTTCCCCGCCCCTGCCGAAGGCAGGGGTGGGTCGCTGCCATGAGTCCCCAGGCCTCAGGCCTGCCTGCCAGGGCTCTCTCCCACCCAGTGTGGGGGCCAGGCCTTCACAGTACCCTCAGGGCCTTCATCAGAGCCCCTTATCTCCCCGCCATAGTCTGGGGGAGCCCCAGGCCCCTGGTTCCCACTGCTGCCCTTGCAGAGCATGTTGGTCCTGCTCCTTGGGTTTTGAAGTTTTCTCTGTACCCCCACCAGGTCCCACCAGCACCCTTGACTGGACAACCCCCTTCTGCTATTCCTCTTCCATCCCAGTAGCCTCCAAATCTCTCTTGGTAGTTCCCCTACACACCCCATCTCCATTCTGGGCCTGGGCCCCCTCCCAGGCCTGGCTGACCCAGACCCCTCTGTCCCAGCTGGAGGAGGAGCAGCAGGCCCTCCAGAAGAAGCTGAAGGGGACAGAGGATGAAGTGGAAAAGTATTCTGAATCTGTGAAGGAGGCCCAGGAGAAACTGGAGCAGGCCGAGAAGAAGGCCACCGATGTGAGTGTGGACTTGGGGGACAATGGGGGGAGTTAGGGCGCTGGGGAGGGGCCCCCTGGGCAGGGGAACAAGGGGATAAGGGGACTTAGCTATCCCCAGCACCAGGACAGAAATGATTTTATCTCAGTAACCAAGGCTAGGGTAAGCTTACACAAATAATCCAAGACAGCGGATAAATCAAAACCACCTACCACTTCCCCCAGAGGACTTAGTCCTGTAATTCTGTTTGGTTCCAGCTTCTAGAATGTACAGTGATCAGGCAGTGAGTCATTGTGGGGGTGGAAGGCATAAGAATTTGCCATCTACCTCAGTTAATCCTCCAGCTGAAATTGGAGAGGAGACTGCAGCAGTTTGGGGGTCGGGGGTGTGGGTGTGAGGTACTGGCAGGCAGGAGGAGGGAGAGGGATCCAGAGATGAGGCCCCACTTGAGTTACAACCCTAAGGGGCCATTAGAAATTCCCTGGCCTTGACCTCTGCCTTCAACAGCCCTGCTGTGCCCTGAGGCCCCAGCTCAGGTTCTGAGGCTCCTCATTTATCCTCATTAAGCTGTCAACCTGGAGACCACGCCAGGCCACAGGGCAGAGGGACAGGGCCACAAATGCCAAAGCAGCTACCTTGGCAGGTCCTATTTACCCTGAGATTTCTCTGTCCACCCCACAATCCCAACCAGACTTCACTTCCTGCCATTTCCAACCCCCACCTTAAGATAGGAGAATGGCCATATGATTTTGGAATGGCACTTTCCCCATGCTCTGCCTCAGTTTCCCCATTTGCCGTCCACCCAGGACTGTTTTAAGATAAACCTGTGGTTGGATTAGCATAAATCATGGTCTGAACATCAGAGATGACATTGCTGTTTGTGTCAACTGCTCATGTTCCCAGCCCCCCACGGTTGGGCTTCTGTGACCTCCAGCCTCCAGTTTTGGTTCTCCACTAGTCCTGGCACTTGGGAGGGAGCTGACCTGCAGCTGCTAGCACAGACGACCCTGGGCATCTGACACTCTATAAATAACCAAGGCCCAGTGCAGCTGGAGGCAGGACTAGAAACCAAAGGAGCTGATGGGGGCTGGAGGCGGGGTGGGGGGACAGGGACAGAACTGGGGAGGCAGAGCAGCAGTGCCAGGAGCGGATAGATAGGAAAGACTGCCCAAGCTTATTGTGTGACCTTGAACACAGCACTCAACTTAACATGGTGCCTCAGTTTCTCTCTTCGCTCTTGCTTCCCATTTGTCTAATGGGGACAGAAGTGCCTGTCCTGTGGTTAGAGAGGAACCTCCATAACTGGCAAGAGCTTGAGGAACAAGAAATGGCACATATCAGTCCCATGATGAGGACCCCAGGACTCACCAAACTTTCCAGAGTTGTCACCCTACCATCGTGAAGAGTTTTTCTTTTACAGTTTCACTGCTCTCTAGGGTAGTCCTCCAATGTCCCCCAGAGTGATTCTTCCCAACCCCCAATGCTGTCCCCAGAATCCTTCCACACTGAGTCATCCGGCCCTGTGCCCATGATGGGCCCTTGCCACTCCAGGTGGCGAAGCTCCAGGTGCCTTCAGCACCTGGAGGATAAGCTACCGTCTGCTCTCTATATATGGTGCTATTTCTCCTGCCCTGCAGTCCTCTCAAGGATCTGCTTCCTATGCTCTCTGTCACAGTGGCTGCCCCCAGCTCCTCCCTCTACCTCCTTCCTCTACACAGGTCCTCTCTCCTCTCCACTCTGAAATCTCAGAGTCTCTGTGTCCTTGTTTTTGATGAAGAAAGAGGATAACCTGGCCGGGTGCAGTGGCTCACGCCTGTAATCCCAGCACTTTGGGAGGCCAAGGCAGGCAGATCACAAGGTCGGGAGTTTGAGACCAGCCTGGCCAATGTGGTGAAACCCCATCTCTACTAAAAATACAACAATTAGCTGGGTGTGGTAGTGGGCGCCTGCAGTCCCAGCTACTTGGGAGTCTGAGGCAGAGGTTGCAGTGATCTTAGATTGTGCCACTGCACTCCAGCCTGGATGACAAAGCAAAACCGTCTCAAAAAATAAAAATATAAAAAAGAAAGAGGGTAACCTAATATTTATGGAGTGCAGACCCTGTGTAGGCAGTGTGCTCAGTAGTTTCTGCATGTTATTTTACAATTTCCCAAACTTTGCTTATCATCAGAATCAGTCAGGGGCTTTAAAAAACAGAGAAGCCGGCCGGGCGCGGTGGCTCAAGCCTGTAATCCCAGCACTTTGGGAGGCCGAGGCGGGTGGATCACGAGGTCGAGAGATCGAGACCATCCTGGTCAACATGGTGAAACCCCGTCTCTACTAAAAATACAAAAAATTAGCTGGGCATGGTGGCGTGTGCCTGTAATCCCAGCTACTCAGGAGGCTGAGGCAGGAGAATTGCCTGAACCCAGGAGGCGGAGGCTGCGGTGAGCCGAGATCGCGCCATTGCACTCCAGCCTGGGTAACAAGAGCGGAACTCCGTCTCAAAAAAAAAAAAAAAAAAAAAAAAAAAAACAGAGAAGCCAGGCGCTGTGGCTCAAGCCTGTAATCCCAGCACTTTGGGAGGCTGAGGCGGGTGGATCACGAGGTCAAGAGATCGAGACCGTCCTGGTCAACATGGTGAAACCCCGTCTCTACAAAAAATACAAAAAGTTAGCTGGGCATGATGGTGCATGCCTGTAATCCCAGCTACTCAGGAGGCTGAGACAGGAGAATTGCCTGAACCCAGGAGGTGGAGGTTGCGGTGAGCTGAGATCGCGCCATTGCACTCCAGCCTGGGTAACAAAAGCGAAACTCCCTGTCAAAAAAAAAAAAAAAAAAAACAGAGAAGATTCTCAAGTCCCCACCCTACACATCTCAGTTCAGTGGATCTGGCATGGAGTAAGAGAACCTGTTTCGTTTTATGAGCCTTCCCGAGGGTTCTGTTGGTTGATTGAGTATTAAAAGCACTGCATTATCTCAGAAGAGCCTTAAGAAGGAGGAAGTGTTATTGTTAACTCCAACTTGTGAAGGAGGAAACTGAGGCTTAGAGAGGCTAAATAAGTTGCCCAAGGTTACACAAGTGTTGAGTGGCTGATCCATGGCTCAAAGACAAGCCTGACTCAGAGCTGATGCTCTTAACACCACACCGCACTGCTCTCATTTTCCTTTGTTGGTGCTCATCTTGCTGTGGCCTTTATCTCGGTGTTTGACCAGGTTTCATGGATCTTTTCCAAAACCCCCATGGTTTTGCCTCCTATTGCAAGCTCAGGAACTGAGTAGACATCCCTCACACTGCGCCTGCATTGCCCCCAGCTCTCTGCTGGTCTTGGCAGGGAGACCCTTGCTACAACCATGGGCGTCCTTCATAGACCTGCCTCTTGGGCTTCTTGCTGGGAGTCTGCCTCGAAGCTGATGACAGATGACATCACTGAGCTTGGTCTTTTTTTTTTTTTTTGAGATGGGATCTCGCTATATTGCCCAGCCTGTCCTCCTAAGGTCAGGGTGAACTCCCACCTTAGCCTCCTGAGTAGCTGGGATTACAGGCGTGCACCACGGTGCCCAGCATCACTGAGCTTGATTCTGTGATGGGCTGGTCTTAGCAGCAGTGAAGTCTGGTTGGCCTGGTTCTTCCCCATCCCCCTACCTGGGCCAGGCTTTGCTGTGAAGGAATCAGAGCCGCGTCAGACCTGGCCCAGCACTTGGAGTGCTCTCACAGGGAACAGGAGGACTTGTGTGCAGGTGACCTTCGGGAGACTAACCGTGCACGGGGCAGGAGAGGCCCTGCTGCCAGGGAGCAGAGCTCGTCAAGTGAGAAATACATGTTTTTTTTTTTTTTTTTTTTTAGATGTAGTTTTGTTCTTTTTGCCCAGGCTGGAGTGCAATGGCATGATCTCAGCTCACTGCAACCACCGCCTCCTAGGTTCAAGTGATTCTTACGCCTCAGCCTCCCAAGTAGCTGGGATTACAGGTGCACACCACCATTCCCGGCTAATTTTGTATTTTTAGTAGAGACAGGTCAAACTCCTGACCTCAGGTGATCCACTCGCCTCAGCCTCTCAAAGTGCTGAGATTACAGGCATGAGCCACTGTGCCCAGCCTGAATGCACATTTTTTACTGGAGCACAGTCTGGGCAGAAGATGATTGGTCGAGGAAAAATTACAGAGAATGTATAGAAACCAGGAAGTCTCAGTTCTTTCTGAGAAGAATCTTGACATCCTCTAGAGCCTCCCTGATCCTCATCCAAGGCAGACCAGGCCTTTTTGACCCCAGTCTCTGACCCACAGGCTGAGGCAGATGTGGCCTCCCTGAACCGCCGCATTCAGCTGGTAGAGGAGGAGCTGGACCGGGCCCAGGAGCGCCTGGCTACAGCCCTGCAGAAGCTGGAGGAGGCTGAGAAGGCAGCTGATGAGAGCGAGAGGTGGTCAGGGGCCCCTGGGGGAGGACGGTCTGGGAGGGAGGAGGGATCCTGTCTGCTGATCCCGACCCCACGCTCACCCTCTCCGTGCCTCCCAGAGGAATGAAGGTCATCGAAAACCGGGCCATGAAGGACGAGGAGAAGATGGAGCTGCAGGAGATGCAGCTGAAAGAGGCCAAGCACATCGCTGAGGATTCAGACCGCAAATATGAGGAGGTGACAGCCTCGTCCCTCTGCCTGCTCGCTGCCCAGCCCACAGCATACCCAGTCCTTCTCTGCTGATCTACCCTCTCTTCCTCACTCCCTGCAGGTGGCCAGGAAGCTGGTTATCCTGGAAGGAGAGCTGGAGCGCTCAGAAGAGAGAGCTGAGGTGGCCGAGAGGTAAAGATACCTGGGGGTTGGCATGTGAGCCCCTTGGCACTGGGGGCCCTCCATATAGTGGGGAGGCAGTGTTCTAGGCTTGGGGCCATAGGGACAGCCCCTGTTCTCTGACCCCTGCCCGCTGCCCCCAGCCGAGCCAGACAGCTGGAGGAGGAACTTCGAACCATGGACCAGGCCCTCAAGTCCCTGATGGCCTCAGAGGAGGAGGTAGCAACCCCTCTGAACCTTTCCGGGCAATGGCGCCTTCTCTCAGCTCACCTTCTCTCCATCTCTGCACCACAGGCTGCTCTCTCTCAGCTGCTGGGGATTGGGAAGGGCCTGGGGCTTCTGAGCCCTGCCTGCTGTCACTCTCACAACTTGGCTCTTCTCTTCTCTCCTCTACCCATCCCCCACTGTGCCATCTCCACTGTCTGGCTTCACTGTGCCCTCACACCCCGCTCCCCCTGCCACACACCCCCTGCAGTAAATGTGGGGACCTAGAGGAGGAGCTGAAAATTGTTACCAACAACTTGAAATCCCTGGAGGCCCAGGCGGACAAGGTAGAGGGGAGCAGAGGGGCAGTGAGGATGGGGTCCCGCAGGGGAGGGAGGCGAGGGGCCCAAGGCAGGGAGGGGCTGGTGTTCAATGGAGGCAAGATGGCCAGCAGCCTACGGGGTACAATGGAGAAATGAAGGATTTGTGGCGGCACTGTACTGATGGTGTGTGTATGTCCCCAAAAGTATTCCACCAAAGAAGATAAATATGAAGAGGAGATCAAACTGCTGGAGGAGAAGCTGAAAGAGGTGAGAGTGCTCTTCCAGTTCCCAGTGTCCCCTCAAGCCCCTCTTATCCTTGTCAGAGACCGCTTGTGGTAGGACACTTGAGGGAAGGGATGGGCAAGAAGCTTGAGGTGGGCAGTGGTCTGTGGGAGAGCCTAACTCTTTCCCATTTCTACCATCCTGCCTTTATCCCCCAGGCTGAGACTCGAGCAGAGTTTGCCGAAAGGTCTGTGGCAAAGTTGGAGAAAACCATCGATGACCTGGAAGGTAAAAGGAATACTCTCTCATATCCCTGAGCCTTTATAAGTAGGTCCACACCTGCCGTGATTATCAGTCTGTCCCTTACCTTCTCATCCCATTTTATTTGCCACCAGTAAACTAGGGTTGACCCACCTAGGACTCTACCAACTCCCCAATTCTGTGGGCCATGTCTACAATTCAAGTAATTGTAGCTGTCCACAGGGCAACAACTCCAGTGCTTCTCAAATTTCGGCATGCATGAGAATCACTGGGAGAGTTTTAAAAACAGATTCCTAGGCTGTGCCCCAAAGTGACTGCTGACTTTCGGCTGGAGGATTTGCATTTCTAGCCAGCTCTCTGGTGCTGCCAATGCTGCTGGTCCCCAGGCCACACTCTGAGTAGCTCCCATGTAGACGACGCCGTCCCTGAGTGTAACGCAGTAGAGTTCTAGCACAGAGACTGCCTTATTAACTAGAGAGCTTTTGATTGAACATCTAGGTCTGCATGACAACACTAATAGAAAAGACTATTTTAAGCTAGATTGGACAAAAACAAACATGCAGGTATTTGTGAGTCCGTGACTATTTCTGTTGTTGATGGTGTTGTGGCTAAAGTTGCCTTTCCTTTTTATTCTGTGATAACCCTTTCACTTTCCCACTTCTCTCGCTTCCAGCCTTCTCAGGCAAGCTCCAATTTTACCTCCAGCTGTAGGAGGTTTGCCCTTTCTGGCTCCAGCATGCTCCCTCTCCCTGCTAAGCAAGCACTCCTGCTTGTCCAGAGCACCGTGCCCACAGCTCCCTGGGGAGGCAGGAGCTCCTGCGGGTAGAGCCAATGTGGGGTACAGAGAAGGAAAGAAGAGAGATGGGGTAGAAAGGGGGAGAAGGCGTTCCTGACAGCCGTCCAGCCTGTTCCCTAGCCTGCCACTCTCACTCTGTCTTTGTGCACCTCTGATTCTGTTTTTCTTTCCATTGCCCTCTCTCCTTCCTTTCCTCTTTCCCTCCACTCCCTCTCCCACACTCCCACCTTGTCCCCTCCCTGGACACCCCCAGACGAAGTCTATGCCCAGAAGATGAAGTACAAGGCCATTAGCGAGGAGCTGGACAACGCACTCAATGACATCACCTCCCTCTGAGCCCCACGCCAGTGTGGCCACCTCAGCCCTCTTCTCTCCTTTCCATTCTCTCTATGGGGAAGGGAACAGGCAGGAGGAGCAGAAATTGCCAACATTGCCCAGCCAGGCTGGGAGCAGCCTAGGGAGAACCTCCATCGTGCCCACCACCCAGTCTGGCACTGGCTTCATCCTTTACCTATCCTCCTTCACCCCCCTTCACTGCTTAATAAACTCTGAACTTGGTCTCCATGCTGTTTTCCTGCCCTCCAGAGAGCACCTCTATCACTACCACGGAGCACGGGTTCACTCCTGAGACCCTGGCTCTTGCAGACACCCCCACCCACTGCACTGAGCCACCCACCAAACAACATGGCCCACTCTGAAACCCCTCTGCACAGGCACTCCCAGGCTGTCACTCTGACTCACTGCTGCATGCGGGCACATGTGACCCTGTCAAACACTGTGATCCCCTCTGGTGCCAATCACTGACCTCAGAGCACTTAGCTGGGGTTCCAGGATCAAACAGAGTGTCTGGAAAGGAAATGGGGTGGTGAGGTGCAGGGCAGGGGCAAGAAGGTGGCAAAAGGGCTGGAATGGAGCTTGGAAACACGTTGGATGTCAGCAACATGGGGATTTCACTGCATCCGCAGGTCTGTTTTCTACCTCAAGTCTGTCTGGCCCTTCCTTTCCTGGCTCAGTCTTTGTCTTACCTTCTGTCTCCAACTTTCTTAAATCTTCTAAAGAAGAGGATAAAGCAGTTGATGACTCAGGCCTCCCCACCCCACCTCCATGACCACAAGGCCTTGAGGCATCCACGTCCATCCTGTTCCCCTTATCCTGGTCAATCCATCCATCTGCCCCTGCCATGGGGCCTTGGGGTCCCTGAATGTGTGTGTCTTCCTGTGTCTCCTGACCCACTCCATGTCTGTATGTCACCTTCCCCGCCCCGCCTCCCCACATCTCCCCCTCGTGTCTCCCTCCCACCTCACCTGCTGCTTCCCCTCACAGAGACCTTGGCCAGTGCCAAGGAGGAGAACGTCGAGATTCACCAGACCTTGGACCAGACCCTGCTGGAACTCAACAACCTGTGAGGGCGGGCCCCGCCCCCAACCAGGCTATGGTTGCTGCCCCAACCCAATAAAACTGATGTTTCCAGCTTCTCAAGGCCCTTTAAGCCTTTCTTTGGTATTTGGAATGGAGTTTGAAGGACCCGTGAATGAGCAGGGCCTGGGTCCTTGCTCTGCAGTGGGACCTCCTTTTCAGGGAAAACTGTGGAATGCGGGGGCCTGGGCTTATTGAGAAGGGGCTGTGAACAGGCCATATGAAGCAGGAAGTCTGACAGAGCTGGGGGACATCGTGGCCCTTGTTCCCTACAGGCAGAGGAGTTGCCATCCACAGCACCGCCCTGTTCCAGCAGGAAGCTGGGCCAGACTGCACATCCTGAAGCAAAAACTGCAAGAAGTGACACGTTTTCCTTGAGCAGGGTGAAAAACCCAAAAGCCTGAGTGTGATGTTAAGCCTGGGGCTGCTCTCTGCCCTACCCTTCAACACATACACTGCACACACACGGCCATCCCAGCAGGATCAGTCATTGCTGCCCTCTTCCTGATAACATCTGTGTTAGGCAGAATAATTCCCCTTCTCCAAAGATGTCCATGTTCTAATCCTGTGCGATATTGTTACCTTACATGGGGAGAAACTTTGCGATTAAGCTGAGATTTTTAGATGGGGTGATTATCTTTGGTTATCTAGATAGGCCAAATGTAGTCCCCAGGATTCTTGGGGGTCAAGGAGGTCAAAGGCAGTAGTAGGAGTTGTGACAATGGAAGCAAGAGATCGGAGCGATGTGTAGGAGGGGCCAAGAACCAAGGAATGCAGGTGCTTCCTAGAATCTGAAAAGGGCAAGGAAACATTCTATTTTCAGAGCATCCAGCAGGAACAAGCCCTACTGAGGTCTGACTGCTGACCTCCAAACTTTAAGAGAATAAATGCATTACCGCCGAGTTCCTGCTAATAACAGTAATAGTAGAAAATTCAAATACCATTCTTCTGGTTTGGGGAACAAAAGTGACTAAAACATATTTTATTCTAAATATTTATTTTAAAAAATTACTTGGTGGCCTAAAGAGCAGATGGAACAGTTGCCGGCTCCCCATCAGATGCCTCTGGCTGGCTTCTCTGCATTCTCCAAGATCAGCCTCTAGGCTCCAGTCTCCACTACCTCTGCTGGGCGATAGCTAACACCCGCTTTGGCCCCCCTTCTGTGTGTACACAACAGGGAAGGCTAATCAGGAAACTGGCCCAGGAGGAGCTCGTTTGCATGCACTTTGCAGGAAGCGACTCTGCATGGAGTTGGGGAAGGTTGTGCCTGAGGAAAGGGTGGGTGTAATACCTGTGCTGCCTTCTCATCTGCACAAGGAAGGCGACGCTGGTGACAGCAAAAAGGAGGCCAAAAACCAGGGCTAGGATGTCACCTAGGATGGGAAGAGGGGAGGGCTGCTTCGGGAAGGAAGAGGGAGCTGCAGTTCCTCAATGCCTGCCTCGGTGCATCCCCCGCCCCCACCCCAAGTTCTCAGGCAGTCCCCAGTGCCTCAGTCTCCAGAAGAGGCCAGCCAAGAGATGGGGGTGGATACGTGAGAAGGGGAAAGGTAAGCACCATTTTTCCTTCCTACAAGCCGAGTAAAAGGGTTTTTTGGGGCCAGTCACAGTGGTGCATGCCTACAATCTCAGTGCTTTGAGAGGCCAAGGTGAAAGGATTGTCTGAGCCTAGGAGTTCAAGGCTGCAGTGAGCTATGATCATGTCACAACACCAGCCTAGGCAAAAGAGTGAGACCCTATCTCTAAAAAAAGGCAGCGGGGGTGGGGTGTTGTTCGGGAGAGGGATGCTGGGAGATTTCTCAAGCTTCATTCTAATCAACTTGGCCCTGGGGACAATGGGGGAATCCCCACCAGGATCTGCCTCTCTAATATTGGGGTTGGGGTCGGTTCTGCAGAAAAGGAGAGGGAGCAGAGGCGGTACTGAGCAGCCCTGGGGCTGAATGGTGCTGAGGAGTCTCCTGGCATTAGGAGCAAGAGGAGGGACACAGACTCACCAGCAGCCAGGCAGGAGTTCAGTTGGACTGGAAAGAGAAAGGAGACATGAGAGGCGGACAGTGACCACCAATGACAGACACTGGCACACACATGGGAGGATGAGGGACCCCTGGCTGGAGGATACCAGACAAAGCTGCACCTGGCTCAGCAGCCCGAGGACTGCTGTCCACTCCAGCAGGGAAGGAGGCCTCAATCACTCGCCCATTCAAAGGCTGCGTCGCTCGGAAGTTCATCTGTAGCCGAGAGTCGCCAGGTCCCCACAGGGTGTCAGAGAGGATGTGGAGCTAGGGAGGTCAGTAGACAGTGTGGATGAGTTCACGGCATGACAGGAAACGAGGGTCCCAGACCAGCTCACAGCCAGCACCTCAGGGCTCCGCCCTCGAGCTCCTATATGCCCCACCGGCCCCTTGATTTCTTTTATGAATAAATTAATGTATCCTAAAGATGGTTGCAGTGGTGGGATCATAGCTCACTGCAGCCTCAAACTCCTGGACTCAAGTGATAATCCCACCTCAGCCTCCTGAGTATCTGGGACTATAGGCACACACCACCAAACCCAGCTATTTTTTTTTCCCCTTTGGTAGAGATGGGGTCACACTATGTTGCCCAGGCTTGTCTTGAACTCCTGGGCTCAAGCGATTCTCCCACCTCAGCCTCCCAGCATTATAGGTATGAGCTGGGATTATAGGTATGAGCCACAGAACCCAGTCTTGATTTCTTCTCATCTTTTTCATCTCATCTTACATCCTTTTCCCCCAACATCCACTGTGTCCATACACACCCCAGGCCTACCTGCTTAGCGCTCAGCCTCACTGTCTGGTTAAACACAGTCCAGATGACACCCTGGGCACAGGGCGGTGTAGTCAGAGACCCCTGATATCGGAAGTAGCGGCTGAGGTCAGAGGGTAGGAGTGCAGATACATCCAGTCCTGGGACCTGAGTCTCTGAGCCTGTGAAGAGGATCTATGTTGGTGTCTCACCTATATTGCCCCCTCTTAAAGCTTTAGGATATAGGGATACAGTTTCACCTCCCAGAAGCCAAAGAAACTCGACTCTCTGAGACCACTTCTTCACTAAGTGCAGGCCCTTCCCATAAGATGTAACTCAAAAATAAGTACAGGGCTTTGGGGCAACTGGAAGAGGTCTCAGGGAGGGAGAGAGCGGGGAAGAAAGGAAGGAGGGAAGGAAGAGAAGGAAAGAAGAAAGACCATCAGTGTTTACACTCTTAACTCTGTGTACCATCATAAAGTCCTGGGCCACAGGTTTAAGTCCAGAGTGAATTAAAAAGAAAAAATGATCTGAATGACTTACAAATAAATATGAATATTGATAATGGTATAAAACAGACACAAGAAATGCAAAGGCAGAGTTCTACCTAGTCTAGCAAAAACCTAAAAGGTCTAGTAGAGTAAGTGAGGTTTAAAATGACCCAAGAGTGACTGAGAAGGGAAAGATTTCTACAAGTATTTACAAAGTTAAAATACTTGATGCTTATTAAAGATAAATAGTTAGCAGAAAAAGTTTTGCTCTCAAGACTCCACCTTGACAATTCCAAACACCATTTTTTGGTCTTATTTGGTTTTTTGTCTAATTTTGGTTTTTGCTAGGTTTTCAATCTGTAGGAAGCCGTTTGCAGGTAACCGTGTCTGTCAGCTTCATGGGTATTATCAAGATGAGAGCCGGCTCACGCTTCAACCCCTCCCGCACTGGAGGGAGCCCATCTCCAGCCTCAGACCTGAAGCTCCCAACGGTGATTCTTTATGAACTAGGGCACATAGAGTAGCGGCCAGATCAACAAACTGACCTTCCTCAGTGATTTCTTTCAAGCGAGACAGCAGCTGCTCATAGGCACTGTTTTCTTCTGGGTCCTCCTGGGGGATGACATTGTAAGACAGATGAACGCATGTATCCAGGGCCATGGCTGGAGGCCAGAATGTGAGGGGCGTTCCCATAGTCCTCTCCCATTCCTCAGCTCTGAGAATGCTGAGGGAACATGAAATTGTAATGGTTTTCTTATGTATTCTTACTCAAACTGTATGTATTCAAATCAAGAGTTTGCACAGCAAGAGTACATAGAGTTTGGTGGACTGGTTTTCTTTCTTTCTTTTTTTTTTTTTTTTTTTTTTGAGACAGAGTCTCTTCTGTCGGCCCAGGCTGGAGTACAGTGACGCGATCTCAGCTCACTGAAACCTCCACTTCCCGAGTTCAAGAGATTCTCCTGCCTCAGCCTGCCGAGTAGCTGGGATTACAGGTGCCCACCACCATGTCCAGCTAATTTTTATATATTTTTTAAATAGAGACGGGGTTCAACTGTGTTGGCCAGGCTGGTCTCGAACTCCTGACTTCTTGATCTGCACCTCAGCCCCCCAAATGCTGGGATTACAAGCACTACAAGCACAAGCCACCATGCCCGGTTGGTGGACTAGTTTTCAGTGACAAGCTGGAGAGGGAGGGAGAGAGGCCATTTTATTAGGGTACTAGGTTCTCAGTGACCTCAGCCCTTCTAACGTTTGAAGTGTCACTGCTGCCTCCACACATGCTCCCCACAGGAAACCATATATACATTTTTGTGTTCATATAACCTCTATATTCACCTCCATGATTCTGTGTTTGGCTTCTCAGGTAAGGGCCTGACACGCTACTTCTTTTATTATTCTTTTTTCTTCTTTCGCTTATGAACCTAATGTTATGAACATTATGAAACTAACAGTATGAACATACTAACACGCTATTTCAGAGGCATTTCTCTGAACTTTGTGCTGTGTGGCTGGCGTTAAAGAATCAGTGAGCGTGGCCCAGCATGGTGGCTCACGCCTGTAATCCCAGCATTTTGGGAGGCTAAGGTGGGCATATCAATTGAGGCCAGGAGTTTGAGACCAGCCTGACCAACATGGCGAAACCCCATCTCTACTAAAAATAGAAAAAAATGTCGGGCGCGGTGGCTCAAGCCTGTAATCCCAGCACTTTGGGAGGCCGAGGCGGGTGGATCACGAGGTCAAGAGATCGAGACCATCCCGGTCAACATAGTGAAATCCCGTCTCTACTAAAAATACAAAAAAAAATTAG